AGGCAGAAACACGTAAACGTAACATGTAAACTTAATTTTGGTTCGCAGATTATGGTCCTATATACCGTTTTTCTATATCAGGTCACTTTCGCTTTAAAATAAAAGATTTTTTTAATATTAATTTGATTGGTGTTAAAGCCTATTCTTTTACAAAAACAAGATATCAATGAAGAAAATTTGTTGATAAATAAAGTTATAAATGGTCAAATGTAAATTTCTTTTTTATAAAATATGACTAGGAAAGAATGTTACTCATACGGCATGTATAATCTATTAATGAAATCATACCGCTACCTAAAATCCAAAATTTAGTTTTTGATGCAGAATGACAGATAATGCGAAACTACATCGATTTTTCGTATCTCCTGAACAATTTCAAAAAAATGGTAACGATTTGTATTTTTGTGTGGAAATTATAACACATTTCCATTCAACCATTTCTAACTTTACATATTTATCAATAAATTTTCTTCGTCGATAGCTTGATGTTTTTGTAAAAGAATAGGATTTGACAGCAATCAAAAGAATTTACAAAAAAATACTTTTTATTTATAATTTTTCCCGATTAAAAATTTATTTTTTTATTCTAATGAAAACTCTTGCGAAAATTACCTATCTATAAAAACGGTATACAGGGCCGTAATCTACGACCCAAAATTAAGTGTACGTGTTCGTCGATTTTTTGTATATTACCCTACAGTGTAATTTACGGTTTTTAAATAACCTTTTTTTTTTTCACTGCGAAAATATTCTATGTATTTGACTAAACTCTTCTTTGTTGTTGTTTTTCTATTCGTGCACCATACATATTGTACCTTATGTCTACTGCAGATGATTGCAAAGGACAACAGCGGCCGAGTGTCGTCTTGTGAATGAAAATGAGAATATTAAGTAACCATTATCTATTTATTAAAAAATAAATAAAAATAGATACATATTTGTATACATATTTACTGCTACATATTATGTACATAGGTCTGTGTGTATTTACAAATATTTGTATGTAATTATTTATAAATTAAACTAGGGCGCAAAGTAAAAGACGTGCTAGCACATCAGTTGCGAGAGGAGGGCTATAGAAGCGAGCAAAATATTTTCTATGCATGGCATGCTATATTTTCTTCTCAAGCGGTTCCCTTAAAAAAAACTACATAAAGTTGAATGAATGCTTCTTGAGCGCGCTAAAACTGGGTTAACTATCGAGATGACACCCGAAATTACTAAAAAAATTTACATGAAATTATTGCATGAACTGATTTGGTTGCTACTAATAATTATACGTTAGATGGGCAGTTGTGTTTGTCAGCAGCTGAAATGGTATTACGATGGCAACTGTGTTTTGTGGTTGCCGCGGAGTTTGCGTTTGAGAGAATGTATTTTTTTTGACTGTTTCTCCTGCTATTTCAAATTCTACCCTTGGTTGCTGGAATTGAAAATTCTATTATCTTCAACTTTCTAGCACTATATCTATTCATAATATTCATTTTCATTTCAGTGGCGTTGCCTAAAGGCAACTCAGCTGAGGTTGCGCTGCTATACATAATCGAAACATTAATCCATTCAGAAGAAAATGTCGACTTAAAGTTTTTTCTCAATTGTTAGAACAGCAAATCTAGATGTGATAAAATATTAAACAAACTTTTCTGGCAAATCGGCATCACTGTAAAACTATAAGATTTTCTAGAAAACAATAAGGATAAAAAATTTACTTTTTCCTTCGAAAATGGCTATAAGCTACAGGAAAGTGGAAGTAGTTCCGAATACTCAGAGTTCCGAGCACTTTTAAAACGCGAAAAGCAGGATAGCTCTTTTTTCTTTGCCTTACCAAGATTAATATCAATTCTTATATTCTAATCGAACTCTTGGTTGGAGTAAAAATTCATTGCGTATATTGCAATAGTTTAGTACAGTTTTACAAGTAGCAGCACACATATACATACATATGAACATATTACACATAAGAGCCGAACTTTTCAGCTTAATTCCGAAAAAAAAAATAAGGTAAAGGTAAAAACGCGGGTCAATATTGTAAAAACAAACTGCATCAAGTTTACGGTGACTATGTTCTAAACGCATTTCAGTTCGTGATTCAAGAAATTCCACGGTGATAGGTGATATCAGAAAGTTCCAAATGATAGAAATATAATATTTTAGGAACCAGCGCTCAATTTTCTATTTATGTACATATGTATGTACGACATTGTGACGAACGGCCTCTAATAATTCGTAACTACAACATCACACTGCTGTGCCGCAATAATTTTGCGCTTGTGTGATGACGGAATTTCAGAGTTAAACATAAAAACTAATTAAAAATAATAATAATTATAAAAATATGTACATATGTATGTGTAGCACACACAATTAGACCACAGTTAAAATTTCATACTCGGTATTTTCCCAATAACACATACATATTTGACTTTTCGATTAGCGTGGTTGATATCATTCCCGAATTCTAAAATTGTATAAAACGCTAAATTCACTGCGTTGTAGATGTAAAGAGAGACGGTTGACTAATTGCACTTTGAAGGATTTTATAAGATCCGTTTTCGCCATGGTGAGTTGTCTCACATTCAGCAGTTAACTGCTATAGTTCCTCAGAACAAAAATTAAAAATTAACTGCCGCATGTGAGCTAACTCTCTACTGTGAAAACAGCGCTAAAGCGATCGCAGAACATTCCAATCCACTTCATTTAAAAGCAAAATGCGAATTGCAATAGCAGTTGACGGCGTACACCAACTGCCACAACTCCTAAGAGATAGCGATCAAGTGTTTTCAGCTTTTGGCATCAAATTCGTGCTATTTTTT